CCTCAAAGTACTCCCTCCATCGCTGAAGAATGTCATCATCCTTGGTAAGAGGGTGTCCAGATCTGTCTTTCAAAACTCTCAGACTGCCGGTCTTTTCACCTCGTAGCCGGCAGATGGTCTGCCAGAATACTTTGTTTGCCATGTGGAAATTTGACTCCAACACCTCACGGAACTTCTGAATGTGCTTTGGTTTCTGCCACTGGTTTTGCTGCTGTCTTGCGTAGTTCTACATGTCGCGGGGTGTTTAAGTCTCTTTGCTTCCAAGCCATTCTTGAATGCGGGCTTCTTTTTAACTGCCAGTTGTACCTCTCGTTTCCACTATGAAGTTCTTTCCTGACCTCTAGGCGGTTTGCCCTTCCGTTTGAATCCGCAGCATTTGGCGGCAGCCCCGAGAACTCCGCTCTTAGAGTTTCCAGTCGATTTCCACATCGGCAGTCATCACCGGTTCAAACAATTGTGCGATGTTGTTCGCAAGTTTCGTTCCCATATCCGTCGAAGATAATGTTTCCCTTTTGATTCCCTGATTGCTTATACCACCAAACATGCATGTTTAACAGTCCCAGTAGCTACCAAGCGGAAGGCGATTGTAGAATAGTCATTGTCCTTTATTCGTCGATAGGGGATAGCAGAAGTATTGAAGAAATCACTTCAGTATGTGCCATACAGAGCAATGATTTTGTTTTACCCTATCTCGAAACTCCTTAAATGACCACTGCAACTACTCTGTGCCTTTCGAATACAGAAACCTTGTTAAAAGAAATGAAAATTGAGGTAATAAAGCGATGCGTGATCTTTTACTGTTTAATGTGTATTAATAGATTTTCGTGTTTGAGGCTCTCCAAAGTTATCGCATTTATTTCAGCTCAGTTCAGAAAAATGCAACAGTGCCTTGGCAGTTATTACGTATTGGTTGTGGAAGACAAAAGCATAGGCCAAATCATTGCCACGGGAACCCTGGTCCTTGAGCACAAGTTCATTCATGCGGCTGGACATCGTGGCAGACTCGAAGACTTGGTCGTCCTCAGTGAATACCGCGGAAAGCAGCTTGGACAAATGTAAGTAAAATATTTTGCTCTAAGAACACGGCTGATTAAACATGATATGAAACTGATTATTCGCTAGCCTGGAAGACAATTGTTAATAGTTTAGTTTAGCAGGTGTCATAATTTTCTGAAAGCCTGCAGCGTTTTTTTTAAGAAAAAACAGTCAGAGAATGTCTCCAACGTTCCCGATCCTGTACCAGAATTTGAGCTACTGCAGAAATAATTTGAGTTCAGAGTACAGGTACAGGGCACTTGACCAAGATTATTCTTGGCTGTGCCCGGATTCTTCGGCTAGTCGATCAAATAAGTAGTGGTTGTTTTGCACTCTTTTCTGGAACATGTGCAGCACGTGCTCAAACCTCTTCTCAAACTGGAGAAGTAGCGGCTTTGCGCCAAGGCCTTCTCAGATATCTGTTCTTCTGGCCGTGTCGAGACACGTGAGTCCGTGAGCAATTCATCTTAGTGCATCCATTTCAGCCGGTTGCACATATGTATTTTTTGGATAATATAATTATACCTAACTCAGGAAGAATGACAACCTCGATTTACAATTTGTCGACAGTTATGCTCGACATTAAATGAAGCACAAACCACTCTTAAATGGAACAAAGTGTAGGTGATCAGAATTGCTTCATGCCATCACTAGATATAGCAGTACTAGCAGCGTGATGCAAAAACTTTTTCAGATTTTATGCAAGGTAAAGCAGCACGACAGAAAGATCGCTGCGAAACGACAGCTTTCAACACGAGTACTTTCCTGTACTTCGATCAGTGATACTGAATGTCAACTTGAAGTTTTCAGTTTCAAATTTTTCAGGCGTAGATGATGTTACAAATGAGTTCATGGATCATATGGTGTTGGCTGTGTCCGTGTATGTTTAAATCATCCAGACAAGGAATCTTTGGAACAATTCCAAGCTAGTTTATGACCTATTTCTAACTCTTCCTATATTTTTTTAATTTTTCTATTTTTAAGTTGGTACAATACTCCATTGATTTGACATAAATGAAAGTTGCTTAGTAAAGTTCACTAAAGAAATTTTGATCTAACTAAACCCTGCCTTTTCCGCATATGCTTCTCTAACCGACGCCGGTTGCTCAATCGGCAGAGCATCAGACGTAGAACCAAAACATCCCTGGTTCCAGTCCCTACCTTTTTACTTGCCTTTCTTCATTCCGAGATTGATAAATGATAACCATGTTGTGAGAAGGAAACAAACTAAACATTGTGCTTGTCAGATAGCTGTTGTCGACTGTCTTTAAAATGCGGCACTCCCAGCAATATC